ATGATACATATTAATTGATAAATCAGCCTCAGTTATCAGAGTGTAGTTTTATAAAAATTTGTCTATATATCCGATGTTTAGGATTTTTGTTTTATTTCTGGGAATGCATATGAAAGTTCTTTACTGTACAAAAAAATTAAAAAGAAAGTATTAGAACAATGAAATGGGTTTCATTAACTTTTTTCATGCCCGTTTTCCATTGGATAAGATACCTGACTATTCTCTGAAAGGAATGTCTGATGTGTATGCAAGGGTTATACTCAAAAGTTGACCCAAATCTTTTGTTGATTTGAGAAATCAGTCAATTAAGAATTTACTTTGACTGTGAACGTCTACCAATACTTCTACCTTAATACAAATTTCCAGCAAGCAACTAACAGAAAATTAAATTGCTGAATCACACATCTTGAAAGAAAACCAGCAGGTTTATTTATTATTTATCTATTGTCTTGATTTTAGGGACAGTCATTCAAGACATTTGCACTGTTTTAAGAGACTGTGAGACATGGAATGTTAACAAGCTTCATTGTCAGGAAACTTCCTAAAATTTCGTTTGAATGCCTCATGCATCACTTGAAGCTCATTTCCTCTCATTGAACAGAGGCAGGACAGCTGGTCAGTATCTTCCATCTGCACTGCGCTCAGCCTTCCTCTGACTGTGTTACAGAACACCCTTCTGAAATGGGAGTAGGAGGCCAACTTGAAACAGGAGAGAAAACACTCAGGAAAAAGAAAATCTTGTGGTAAATAGCATTTTAAACTTAACTTTGAATGGGGCTGTAGAGTAGGTCAGGGAGTGGACCAAAATACTGAAGGGCCGTTCCTTGAATAATTTAGACTAATTCTTCAATACTATTACAGGGTCATAAAACACCAGGCCTGGAAGTGAAAGATGTTTGTACTTCATCAAAAAGCCTTTGAATGTGACTCTCTGGCACACTGCCAGTGAGGGCAGTTCTTTGGGGGAAAACCCTATGCCAAAGGCCAAAGAGGCAGCTGTGTTATTCAGCTCCTGAGAGCTTCCAACTCAACACCCACACAAGCTCAATTATGAACAAATTAAAGGGATCCAGACTGAACATAGTAATTCTGGTAATTTAAATAAATAGAGGAAAGTCTACAATTAGTAGGAATAGACTGATTTTCTGGAAAACCCAGAAAATGACACCCTAACCCCTTTGAATAAGCATAGTTACATCTAATTACTTAAAAATAAATTCCTTTTATTCATCATTTGAATCATTTCTGATCTGACTTAAATGTGGCCACATGCATGCCAGCAAAAGTATCCACAAATACTGAGGCAGAATGGCCTCAAAAAAAAAAAAAAATCTATACCTTTAAGTATATAGGAATTAATAGCACTGAATAAAACTATAATCAGGGTCTTACACCTACATTTTAGATCACATAGATAAAATGTGTTACTCATTTCTACCTTCTTCAAATGCAGAAAAATGTAGAGTCATTCAGAAAAATCCAAGATTTAATATTGGGAAATCTATTATTATAACCCACTATAGTAATAAAGAACGAACTACACATAATCATCCTGTATAGATCCTTAAAATCACTTGATAAAATTCAATATCCATTCCTGATTAAACAAAGTGAGCAAATAAAGAACTTTTCAAGAAGCTAGGAATACAAAGAAACATTTAAACTGATAAAAACATTTCTATCAGGAACCAATAGCAAACTTCATAATTAATGGGCACACAAACACAACAGAAGCATTCCTGTTTAATTTTTTGATGAGCTGATCTAGGGTTCACGTAGGAGAACAAAGCATATGAAGAGCCAAAGTAATTTTACAAAAGAAGAGAAAACAGGGAAGCTTGCTCTGTAAGTTATTAAAATGCAGTGTAACAGGATGACACTGGCATGGAGCAGACCAATACATCAGTAGAAAAGCACTTAGAAATCATCCTGTGGATGAAAGGGGATTTATATTCAACATGACTGCATTCTGAGTTAATGGGAGGAGAACGCAAAACTCAATAAACATTATGAATAACTTGCCTATTTACATGGAGAAAATTTTTCCCACTTCACAAATGATGAATAAAAGTATATTATTGATAAACATGAAAAGACCCAAGACTTTAAAAGTACAAGAAAATAAATGATATAAATAAAACCAAACAGTCATGAAGGAAAAGACAGAATTATCTGACAATAAGACTAAAACATCTTTTATAGTAAAGGATACCATGATCAAACTAAGGCAACAAATAATAGATTGCAAAAAGTTATTTACAACATATATAATGATATTCTAAAAGATGAAAAAAATTAAACACAAACATTTTTGGCAAACACTATGAATAAACAAATCACAGAATAAGAAATTCAAATGGACCAAGCCCGCTCACACAAACCAAAACTCCCAACTCTAAATTAAGCCCAAATTTAATCAAAAGGGGAAAAGTAAGAGTCCTTCATATAACACTGTACAATTAGTATAAAGAAACACAATGTGTGACAGAGATGTTTGAACATGGATGGTAAATAGGTAGCAAAGTATTTTAAAATGTTTGTATCTTGTGAATAAAAGAAGGAGATGGGAATGAGAAGGTTATATTTTTCACAATAAAAATTGTCTTTAAAAACATAAGTGAAAATAAATAAATGGAACCCATTCATCTTTAAAATAATTTGAACATAATGTGCAAATTAAAAAACTAGCTTAGGCTCAGTAGCAAAAATGAAACCAACAAAAACAAGGAAGGTACCAGTGAGGTCTATTAGTCTTTGAAGTTTAAAGGTTTTCTAAAGGAGCAATATTCAACATAAATTATGGAATAAGTAGGAGGTTTATCTTCTTCTATTTTGAATCATATAAAATTGCTGTTTTTCTAGGTCAAAGATAATCAAATAGCATTAATTTGCTATTCAGCCTAAATACCTCAATTTAAAAAAAAAAAAAATTGAAGAATGGGTCTTGACCCTGCTTGGAGGATTATTCCTCTAAGTACAGTCACCAACCTTTTTAGCAAATACATTAATTCTTTACATTGGCCCAGTGCTATATATGGAAAGCTAAACTACTTACAGTATCTTTTTCATCTAATCAAACAAGGAAGGCACTTCCAAATGTTTACCATTCTGGTATCATTTGAGTTTATTCATTGAAAGAAATCACATATTTATTGAGCTCACTCAATTGTTCTGGGAATAGGGGTTCAGAATGGCCCTAGAATATTGACCTCAGAGCTCTCTGAGAGACTGTTAGCTTTGATTTGGCATTTCCTGGAAAGGACCAAACTTTCATAATTAGTTTAAAAATGTTTTCATAGCATAGTTTGCCACTTGTGCTGTATAGTGCATTTAAGTCAATGCCTTTAATTTGATACCTGTGTCCTGAAGAAAATAACTCATGACCTTTGCCCTACTATGTAAAATTGAACAAACATTATTGTCATGTATGGTGTAAGTACACTAAAATGCAATGGGTGACTGCTAACTGTTCACATTTTTCAAGGGCTATTTCAATCTAAAAGAGAAAACTGTTTAAAAACAAAGCTTTCACTAACAAAAAATTAAACATAAATACAGTTTCTACATGTGGTTTAGGTTTTATTTTTGTAGATCTGATACTTTTTTTTGTAATGGCTGCTATTTTTTTTTCTTTTGCAGAGACTTTTAAAAACCGTACTGTTGGCCTTTTTTGTTTTTAAACTAAGTGAGGAAAACAGTAATATATTTCTTATCCCAAATTAAGAGCAGTTTTTATTCATTTCATCTTTTTTATAGAGAAACTGGGAAGACAGAACAGGAAATATTTATCAAGCACTCTATAAAAACAAATTGCTCCTCACATAATTAGTAATAACCTATGTCACTGTCACGCATTATTCCTTTGGTCTGTCAGGGGTTCAAACTTGAGAGAAAATACCCCTTTTGTACTAGTGCTCAAGACAGTTTCCTTATTAAGGTTTCTATCAGTCTCTTGCTATAGGTGGTTAGAGCAAATGTATCCTAGTGATCTAGTTAATTTATAGAAAACAGAATCAATTTTTCTTGTTTCATAATGACTGAACATTTTTCTGAACTCTTGTAAATGAGTAACAGATAAGCACTATTTATCAGATTGTTTCATGGAACAGGCAGTTTTGATTATTCTATTTTCTTGGTGCTACTAATGAAATAATGTAATGTGCCTCAGGAAAAAAAAAATTGGCGGGGCTTGGTCTCTGAGCATTCAGAAATCAGTAAATACGTTGCTGAGAATTTATTTTGCACTAGCACCCTATTCTAATCATTCTCTAAGGGCCCAAGGGAGAGCAGCGATGTGCTTGGGTGTCTGAGATATCTTCCAAGGTCTCACATTCTAGAGCCTGGAGAATACAGTTTTCAGCAGCTCTTGATTGCCCTGGCAACCAACACTAACCCAGATATTCTCTGCAGGACTCAAAACACTCGCCCAGAAATTCTCTGTAGGACGCAGAACCTCACTGAGGTTGTCTGGGCATGAAACTGGGCTCTTAGATACCCTCAATCTGACAAACCCAGGGACGGATTTGAAGATGGGCATTTAAAGAGAGAAAGTTTCTTCACTGCACCATTCGCAAACATTGCACACAGAGACAGGATGCTCCGTGGGAGAGGATTCATTGAACTTCATGATCTTCCCAGGCCCCGCAACAGGTATGTACATGAGAAATGGAAAGGGACCAGCAGACGTGAAAGTACAAACGCAAAGGCAGGTGAGTTAAAGACGCTTATGCATTCAGATCCTCCAGAAGGAATACTCCTACTTTTCTGACCTATATGGCCCACTTTATAAAAATGTCACTTATCTCTCTTTTAAAAAGGAGTAATTAGGATTAAATGTGTGGTAGGAGACAGAAAGATAAGATGACTATTATCCCTTTTTCCATGCTTCAGCAGACCTTGCCCCCTAAGGTTGGAGTTGAAGAAACAAAGGCAGGACATTCAGGAAGACAGATGGGCTGAGGCTAGACAGCTGACCTGGACGTCACCTTACCCTCACTTACCGAGGTCCATGCTCTTTGAGGCTTTCAGATTCATTGATTCAGGCTGCCTGGCTGGTGTCACAGATCTAAAGTTGATATGCTGATCTGGAAAATATACTGCTGAGTCCACCCCAGAGCTGCAGAAAGAAGCCATACGCCACATTTAGGTTTAGAATTTAAAAAAAAAAAAATTAAAGGCAGCAGTTCTCATTTTGAACAGAGCTCTTCATCACTCCCTCTGTAGGTCCCAACCAGGCATTTTCAACCAGTTGGTGAACCTCAGGTATCTCTTATGAGATGTAGCACCTCTGTTTTCCTGCATTTTATCATACTCTGCAATTTAAAATATATTCTCTGGCTAACATCATGTTTTCCTCTTCACTGATTTCTGCTAATTGGGATCCTGCTGTACAATATACAACTTTAAGTGGGTAAAGTGAACCTGTGAACCACTAGTGCTTCAAAGGATGTCACTAGATATTAGCAGAACCTAAATGTAGGTTAAGAGAGAGGTGTGGGCTAAGCACGCCCTTCCTTTAAAAAAACAAGTGAAAGGGCTGTGTCCTTTTGAGAAAACCATCCTGTTAATGACTAATGGCTGTGGTAGTTTGGTACTTTATTTAGGTCTATTTTCTAAAAGTAATGTTAATGCTGAGCAAATAGTCTACTCATCAATAATACCAACAGGAAATAACAGGAAAAGCACAGCTGACAATTTAGACACAAGATACATCAAATGCCCATTATAGACTTCCTAGTACTTGTATTCAATCTCAAAGAATTTCATTTCTGCTGAGTATTTTATTTATTTACTTGAGGATGGAGGGGATTATATAAGGGAATTACAGACAATGTCTCATTTCTTGATCCAGAAATAATTTATATTTATATACTTTTTCATACATTAACTTAGAGCCCTTTCTCCTTTGGTTCATATATTTAGAAAGTAAATATGGCAGCTCATTTCAACACAACTTTAATCTTAGATAAAGGAAAAAATAAAATGAAGTCTTCTTGGTAAATCAGAAAGGATAAGTTTCAATTTTTTCAAACAATTGGGATTTGACACTGTAAACAATAAAATAACAACTAAAAAACCCAACCATTATGAATGGGAATACTAAAACGTACTGGGGAATCTCAATTTTTCTTAACCAAATATATCAAAAAAGGTTCAGTCTTTCTTGAAACTTATTAGTCATGCATATTTAATACTGCCTTGCAGCAATAATAATACTGCTGAATGAATGAGCCTCTGTTATTGTAGTGTAACACTGCAGAGCATTCAAAAGCACCAAGTCCAGAGCAGGTCTGCTCAGTTTTAAGTCCTGGCTCTGCTCCTTCCTAGCTGTGGGACCCAGGCAAGTTACTCAACCTCTCTGCGCTTCCATTTTTTGTGTGTATAAAATGGGTATAATTACACTCCTTGTCTCCCATGGGTAACGATCTTTAATAACAGATAAAATGAGTTACAAACAATTATTTGACAAGCGATTTGTAAAATAAGGAGACTAGGGTCTGGAGCAGAGTAAGTAAGGTAGGAACATTTAGGAAATAAGCAGATAAATAAATAGACCTGCTTTTGCTTTTCAAATGACTGTAAGTTTTTGCTTTTCAAGTTACTTAAGTTTTTACAGTTTGCTTTTTTTTTTTTTGGCTTCTCTGTTTTTGTCAGACTTTCTGTGGGCTTGTGACTAAAAGCCCTTCTCTCCTATTTAGAAGGAATGTGGTATAAGATTTACGGACTTCCCTGGTGGCTTAGATGGTAAAGAATCTGCCTGCAACACGGGAGACCCAAGTTCTATCCCTGGGTCAGGAAGATCCCCTGGAGAAGGACATGCCAACACACTCCAGTATTCTTGCCTGGAGAATTCCATGGACGGAGGAGACCGGTAGGCTACAGTCCATGGGGTCACAAAGAGTTGGACATTAGTGACAACTAACACACACACACACACACACACACACACACACAAAATAAGGTTTAGGGCCATGGGCTTGGGAGTGAGTTGCCAGGGTGGGTGGCCTAGTGCATAAAATGGACAGTGTATATAGTACAGGAAACTATATTCAATAGCCTGTAGCCAACCATAACAGAAAAGAATCTTTATAAAAAGTGGACAGTAATAGAATTTACTTAACATTAAGGGTGAAATAAACTGTGATATGTTAAATACTGACAACAGTGCCTAACATACAGTAAGAACTCAACAAGAGCTTACAAAAGTAAACTTTAATCCTTTCCTTTGTTTCTGTAGCTTAGCCTGGTCTTTGAAGGAGGGTTTAAGGCATTCTTCAGCAAAAAAAATTACACAGTCTACCCTCTGTATCCTCAGCATGGCATTTAAGGATCATCCAACCTGGGACCAACAATATTCAGAAAAGAAAAAATTCTGGAAAGTTTCAAAAAGCAAAACTTGAATTTCCCATGCTCTGACAACTATTTACATAGCATCTCCATTGTATTAAGTGGTTTGAAGCATATGGGAGGATGCTGTGTACAAACAGTACACCATTTTATACCAGGGACTTGAGCACCTGCAGATTTTAGTACCCCTGGGAGTCCTGGAACAAATTCCTCACGGATACCAAGAGACAACTGTATATTTTTCATGAAAACTGCTCAAGAACTTTAAAGCTACTCTTTAGAATTATGAAAGATTTTCTTTTCTTCTTCTCCCCCCACCTCCCCGCTTTGGCTTCTTTCTTCTTTCTGGCTATATTCTCAGCCAAGAAAGCTACCGATGTCAAACATATTAGATGGGGTATCTAGTGATGGTGGCAAAATATGTTAACTGTAAACATAAATCCTGATCCACTAGTGCTATTGACTGGCCTGGCATAATAGAATATTTTAATTGTTTTAGTTCATTTTAAAGAGGAATTCTGAGATGCCCTGGTGAATATGAGCTTTTCTCTGAGCCTTGATGTTTTGGAAGCACTTGCCTTTAAATGTGTTATCCGACCTTTATTTGCACTTAGTTTTTCATCCTTTGATCTCTTGTGATGATATGGTTTTAGTGTCAGAGAGACTCACATGGCCTTCATGGAACCAGAGAATCGAAGAGTTGGAAGTCATTAAAGTCACCTCATCTAACTCTTCATCTTGTAGGTAAGACACTGAGGCCCAAAGAGAAGGCTGATATTCCAAGGTTGCAACAGCTGGCCACTGGTGAAGCCAGGACCGGCTTGTGGCTACTTGAACTTTTCCCAGAGCCACAAGATCTTTGGCTAAAATGGTGGCCAGCCTGGGATGCACGTTGTTGCTAATCCTGCATCCATAGAACTCGGTCCTTTACCTCTTAGTACAGTTTCACACACACTCTTATGCAACTTGCATTTTAGGTTAGTTTTTTTTTTTTTTTTTAATTTCAACAGAGTGGTGCATGTTGTGAAATAAAAGAAAATTAAAGGGTTAATCAAAACATATGCCACATGTTATAATGGAAATCTTTTGGGAGGAAATTTAGAACAACATGAATATTCCTCTTTAAAGGAAATCACGCTGCATTTAAAGTGCTCTGCTCAAGGCAGACTATGGGAATCTACCCAACTGTGTAATGTTTTGGTTAATTCACTTTACTGTTTTAGAATGCTTTACCAAACTAGGCATTATTTGTCAAATTAAGAATAAGAACTCAAATTTACCAAACTCTTGGGAAACAATTAACCCCACCTCCATTGAAAAAAATAAGACGGTGATATAGTAACATCAAGTAAGGATCAGTCTAAATAAAGTGAATTTTTTGTACAGATGCAGAGATGCCATCAAAGATGATCAAAGAAATAAAAAGCTGCTTTGTACATATGAATGCAACATATATTCACATATATGTGCATATATATATATATGTATATAAACATATGCAAACCTGGATATGTCCATTACATTAGGTAAGATGATATATACCTCTGTTACCATTGTTTTGAACATGGGCAAGTATACACTTTGAAAGCCTTCAATAAAAGGACCTCTCTTGCCATGGTACAAAATGGAAATTAGGCTGATATCAGATTGGGACTGGCATATATTTAAGGAAGGAAGGAAGTGTAATATGAGACACAGTAGGGTTAAAGCTAATATGAACTTGTACTTGAATGTGTGTAGAACTGAATTGACTAATGGGAAAATAACTTAGACTAGTAAGATAACATTAGACTAGTAAAACAGTTTGTAATTTTATGCTACATATTGGAATTTTTTGGTGTGAGACAGTGACACAATGATTAACTATAAAATATGACATATTTTAAATTTGAAAGCAGTTAGCATGTGCTCATGGCTGAGTGGGCTGCAGCGAAAGACACAAGTTGACAGCAGGCCAAAGGCATATCCTAGATAAAGACTGTGTTTTCAGTATGAACAACCAGGGGATTCATCAAAGGGAAATGATACTCAATGTCAGATGATGCTGCACAATGAATAAATAAGGGTAGCATGAAACATATGCCAATGTCCTGAGCATGGTGACAAATCAGGAATGTGAAAGACATATAAGATCTGCCATGAATGTTCAAGGAGAACTACCTGAAATAAAAAGGCAGGGGAAGGGTTTGAAGGGCATGCCAAAATAATTATGTCTAAAGTCTCAGGTGGCCATGGATTATCATCAATGATTGGTTACTATGTGTGAGAGTAGGCGCAGGTCACATGTACGGGAAGAGAGACAGAAGGAGAGACAGAAGTGAGAGAGAACCAAGAGGGACAGACACTGTGAACACAGAGGGGATAACCAAGGGCTGTCTGAACAGCTAATCACATTCAATATATTCTGTCTGCCGTTGATTTGCCTTAATCTCTTTCTGAGACATCATGGTAGAGAATATATTTCTTTCATATATATATACATACACACACATACACACACACACACACACACGTATGGTTTTAATTTAGACACATTCTAAATTTTTGTCAAATTATTATTGATGTGGGTTGTGATGCCCTCCTCCAGGGAATCTTCCCAACCCAGGGATTGAACCCACATCTCTTATATCTCCTGCATTGGCAGGTGAGTTCTTTACCACTAGTGCCACCTGGGAAGCCCATATCACTACAAATAAATTACTTAAATTCCTGATTTCATTTTGGTTCCGTGTACAGGCATAAATTTAGCCTGATGAAATTTGTTTTTTACTCCTTGCGAATTAGTAGTCTTCTGTTTCATAAGACTGGTTCCATCCCTTAAAGCACTACTTTTCCATTTCAGAGGGCTTATTACATTTTTTCTTTTTTTTTTTAAAAGATAGGGCAGCCTCGTTTGCTGAACCCTCCTGGCTCCCTTCCAAGGCTTCCTCCATTCTAAGTTTCACACATCCAAACCCCCAAGGCTGCTGGTCACCTAGGCAACACAGCAGCTTGTAGGATGGTACAGGTCACAGAATCCCAGGAGGGTGGGGAGAGAGAAAGAGAGATTGAGAGATTCAAAGCTTTAGATTTGTTCATTCCTTTTCAAAAATCTCTTTGACTTTGTCCCTTCTTCTCCAGCTATGCTGCTCCTTCTTTTTTTCAAGCCCCCCTCTTCTCTTGCTGGTGGTTTCAGACTAGTATCCCTGTCTATGGCTTCCCTTATCCATTTATCCTCCACAGCTGTGCTCACATATCATGACATTGTCACCTCCTTCCTTCAAACCCTTCAACGCTTCTCCACTGGTCTCTGCAGAAGCATGGTGATCTCGGAGAATGGCTGGCCATGCCCTTGCCATAACTTCTTTCCCACATACTATATGTTTTCACCACATCGAACACACTGCATTTTCCCTCTCTCCTCATTTGGTTTTCCTAACCTAAACTGCCCATCCTACCTCTCTCCTTTCTATCCTTGGGTTTGATCAGTATTTGAGAGTGGCTTACAGAACTCAGAGAAACATGTTACTTCCTAGCTCACTGGTTTACAGTTTAAGGATAAAACTCAGGAACTGCGTGATTTAGAGCTGCGTGAGGCAAAGCATGTGGGAAGGGGCTCCAAGCTTCTGTGCTCGAAGTGCACCCCTCTCCTCACATCTCCACATATTCACCACCTCAGGAGGTCTCCAAACCCTGTCATTCTGGGGTTTTATGGAGGTTTCATAAAACAGGTGTGCCTGCATGCAAAGTCGCTTTAGTTGTGTTCAACTCTTTGCAACCCTATGAACCAGAGCCCGCCAGGCTCCTCTGTCCATGGGATTCTCTAGGCGAGAATACTGGAGTGCGTTAATATTTCCTTCTCCAGGGCATCTTCCTGATCCAGGGATCGAACCCTCATCTCTTAGGTCTACTGCAGTGAGAGGCATGTTCCTTACCACGAGCGAGCGCCACCTGGGAAGCCCCCATTACAAAAGCAAGACTGATTAAATCATAGGCCACGGTCAACTGATTCAAGGCCCATTTCTCTAGATGGGACTGAAGTTCCAACCCTCTAAGCACAAGACTGGCTTCACTGGCAACCAGTCTCCTTCCTTAGATGTTTCCAAAAGCCACTTCATTTATATGAGACACCTTTATCACTCTCAATACTTAGGAAATTTCAAGGTTTTTAGGGGTCAGTGCCAGAAATGGGATTAAGACCAAATAAACATTTCTTATTATAAATACAACATCACAGGTTTATATCTGATTTATCTCTGCATTGTTCTAGCAGTTTTGTGCATATACCCTGGATAAACAGTAAGGTAGGGTGAGTGAAATTATTTTCAACAGGGGACTTCTTAATGCTACTAAACTGTTATTTTTGCTTCAGACTAAAGGCAGGTAATGGAAATAAACAAGTAAAATCAAATATGTCCAGATTTTTGCTCAAGAAAACCCCAGAGATATTGATCTAGAACATTACTATCATTATCAGTCTAGTTCAAGAAACTGTGTTTGAGTAAGATATTAGACTTCAAAAAGGTAGGGATAGGAGATAGCTAAATATAGGTAAGCTTTTGGCTAATAGAGGTAGCTATACACTTGTATTGTTTTATTTTTAGCAGATTGTAATAAAAAACATTAGTGATGACACCAGTCTTGCTGCAAGATAAATGAAAAAAAACTCACAGGATTATCATGGGGCAACAATGGAATAAAATATCCAATTTTTAATAGCCATAATGAATATAGAAAATAGCAAAGGGACAAGTTAATGATTTTTAAAACTCATCAGAAGAACAAAATCTATAAATTCTACTAGTCAAATGGGGTGTATGCTTAGTAAATCTCTCTTTCTCATGCTTGTGTGAGTCTAAACATTATTGATTTTTTTGTTTCTATTACAGAATGGATATAATATTGGGCATTGTTTTCAACAGTTTAGACTACATATGCTGTTGCTTTAATTTTTAGATTCCATTAACTTTCTTGCAACATATATTTTAAAGATACCTTTAGGATTTGCCAATTACGAATGAAAAAAAAAAGGAGCTTTATGTCTTCTCAGTTTTGTTTTATACCCTCCCATATAACTTTTTTTTGAGTTCCATCTCTCTAGTTTTTAACTTGGTAAAAAAAGACTCAACAATTTTCCCATATATTTTAATAATATATGATGAATTTAAAATTTCAGGAAGTGAAAATGAACCATCTGAGGTGTCAATATTAGCTATAAGAAGCTTTCACTGGAAAGAAATTATAGATACTATGAGATTTCCATTCTGGAAAGAAATAGAGTTAAAATAAGGTTGCTGGGTTTTCCCAGAAAAACCATAACAGGGAACATTTACGATATATCACTTTATCGATACCTGTGGCTGTAATCTTCAAGGCCCAATTCCAGAACGGGATGTGGTTGGGGAGAAGGTGGTACTTCACTCTCAGCCCATCCGTCACTGGGAAGCAATAGGTCTATAAACAAAGAACAAATAAAGCTGTAGGAAACCGGAGGCAGAACTGTTTGGTGCCTCGTTTTGTTTCAGTCCATTTCTCAGACATAATTTTCACCAACACAGAAACCAACCATGAAATAAATAAGTCCTCATACAGAACCGAAGGACTCATATGTGCACTAATACAGCCTGTATAAGGAAATCTTAGCCTGCTAATATGTTTTTACGCTGGTGACCCTCTGGGAAGCCCTGGCAAGTGAAGTCCGTGCATCTTAACTACATTTTCTCATCTCAAAAAGGCTGACACATATTCATTACTTGTGATTTGTAGAAGATTAACAAGCCATTTTTTAAAATAACTTAACATTTTTGTAAACAAGACTCTGTAATGAATGCTGTGGATTAGATGGTGATTTAAGCATTGACCTCAGTGACAAAAAGTACTTAAAAAATCATGAGGTACAGTACATCTACTCACCGTTTAGACATCATAGAGGTTTAAAAAAGAAATTCTTCTTGCATCTGCATTGTGTTAGAAAACCCTGAGTTTGGGGCCTAGGAAGCAGAAGACGGGTCTGAATCCTGGTTTTCCTACCCACAAAAACTTTCTCAGTCTATTTTATATGAAAAGTAAATAGACATGTATACTGAATGTTACAACTAATAACAAGCAAGGATTTTTGAGATCTTTCTGTGTATCGCACATTGAGCTTAGCCTGAAATATTACTTAACCCTCATCACAAAAGAAATTATTTCATATAATGTATGAAAAAAATTATATGCATAATGGTTAAGAGTATGGTTTGCACAGCAAAACTGCATATTTCCAATTATGGCCTGTTATGCTGTATGCACTTGGGAAAACTACTCAACTTCTATAAACTTTGGTTTTTAAATCTACATAGAGGGATATGAATACTTTCATTGGAAGAGCACAAGGATTATATGACAGTGCATATTCAAACAGTGATTTATAAAAACAAAGTGCCAATAAGTAAAAAAAAATGATTATTAATCTGTACACCATAAACTTGCTATGGATCTGTTATAGTGAGATACGGGTAGAAAGTTGACTCTATTGACGGAACAAGGAACTAATCTCTTTGTCCTTGAGAAATGCTGCTAGTAGCAATCTGCTTTGACTTGCCCACACACCAGGTCTGATGGTTAATTTTATGTGTCAACTTGACTGGGCTCAGGGTGCCAAGACACTTGGTATTCTGTGGGGTTGTTTTGGGGTGATAGTAACATTGAAATCAGCAGACAAAGTAGATTGCACCCCTCCCATATGTGGGTGTGCACACATGCTCAGTCGCTTCCATCATGTCTGACTCCGTGAACATAAGGACTGTATCCCACCAGGGTTCTCTGTCCATGGAATTCTCCAGGCAAGAATATGGAATGGGTTGACATGTCCTCCTCCAGGGGATCTTCCCAACCCAGGGGTTGAATCTGAGTCTCCTGCAGCTCCTGAAGTGCAGGTGGATTCTTAACCACTGAGCAACTGCCCCTATGTGGGTGGGCCTCATCCAATCTGTTCATGGCCTGAACAAAAAGGCTGACCCTCCTCTAGGAGAGAATTCTTCCTGCCTGACTGCCTTCAAACTGAGACACTGGCTATTTCCGGCCCTTGGATTCAAACTGAACCACTGGCTCCGCCTGGTTCTTGATCCTGCTGGCCTTCAGACAGGGACTACACCATTGGCTCTTTCTTCTAGGGCTCAGCTTGCTCACTCACTCTGCAGGTCTTGGAATTTGCCTTCCTCTATAATCATGTTACCCAATCTTTTACAGTAAATCTCTACATATGTATGTATATGTAATACACACACACGCATACATATACTCACATATACCTTCCATTGGTTCTGTTTCTCTGGAGAACCCTGATGAATATACCAGGGAAGGACTTGTACAAAGCTCCGCATCACAGACTAGTATAAAAGGGAGGCAGTTCTAGCACTGCTGAAATATCCCTGAAAATGAGACTTGAAGCAGGAATCTGATAAGTCAGATGATCAGAGTACAGAAGCACGAGGAAGAAAGCAGTCAGCACTGTCCTCCACCTCCAAGGACCTGGTAATATGCAGCAGTCAGGCAGTCAAAGATTCGCTGAGAGATGGCACTAGTGGTAAAAAAAAAAAAAAAAAAAAAAAAAAAAACCCAACACCTGCCAATGCAAGAGATATAAGAGACTCAGGTTTGATTCCTGGGTCGGGAAGATCCCTTGGAGGAGGGCATGGCAGCCCACTTCAGTATTCTTGCCTGAAGAATCCCATGCACAGAGAAGTCTGGCAGAGACCCTGCAGAGGGTCACAAAGAATTGAGCATGACTGAAGCAACTTACCACACATGCACACAGAGCAGAAAGTCTACAAGGTTAAGCTGGAATAAAGGACATATGGGGACCACGTCTTTTCTATTGGTTCTAATCATTTATCCTCAACTTCTCAGTTCATTTTTTCACTAGTGGCAAACATAGCTGTGATCATGTAACTGCCTGATCAAAATGTTGCACACAATCGCCTAGAGTATAAAAGTCTCTGTCCCTGGCAGTCAACTTTATCTATTACACATCAGCCACTCGAGACCATTTACAATGCCAGACCCCAAGGCCAGGCTTTCCTACCCCAGTGTACTTGCTCATATAATTGCAAAACCCATTTCATCCATTAAAAGTCCCACCCTTCTCCCAAGGTCCACCTCAAATATCACCTTTCCTATGAAAGCTTCACTTTATGGGATCTGTTGGTATTTTTACAACAGTGGCAGAGAATTCTAGTGCTCCCAGTATCTATGGTCTTCCTTTCTTCCTGGCACACATCTACACCATCAACCCCATTTTCCACCCCTTTTTGTAACTAGACTAGTTCTTGCCAATAGAAAGTAAGCTACTATGGTCAATGTTGTGTCCAGTTTTAATGTTTAAGAAAGGGTACACGCAACTTCTCCCCCTTTCCCATCTACCTTCTGCAACCATATGTGGATGCGGCACCGGACAATGGCTAGCTTCCAATGGAAACAGCCCAGGTCCCTCAGTTCTCACTGGGTTGTGATATAAGCAAGAAATACATCTTCACTATCTTTATCCACTGACACTTTCAGTTTATCTGTTAATATTACAAAACCTAATTCTTGTGTAACATTTACCATGTGCTCCTTTTGGAATGAGCTATCAATTCATCATCTACTTGTCTATATTTATTTCTCTTACTGCACCACAGATAAATTCATCCATGTCCCCCTCTTTTGCCTCTCATTCTTCTTCTTTAGCATCTCCTCTGGCTACTTCAAGTTGATTATGATCATTAGCTTCAATTTTTATTTTATTCACATGAATAATCTACATGTTTTTAAAATAATGATAGGTGCAGATATGTTTTCTTTGATGACTCTTTATCCTTGGTAGTTTTTTTTTTAACTTTTTACTTTATATGGAGTATAGTTGATCAACAATGTTGTGATTATCCTTGGTACTTTTTAATAACAGATCCACTTGCTGTAAAGAATTTTATTTTCCTCTTGGTCCAAACACCTTTGTTAAGCTCTTTATCATCGTGAAAATCTAGAATTCTTGTCTCCTAAAAACAGTATTTCTGGATCCCACTGAATATACAAGGTAAGTCTTGATGGGTATTTTACATATTGCCTGTAAAACACTGTACATCTAGTTACTACTTCATTTATGACCAAATGACCCTTATTTTAATCTCCATTGTTTATTGTTCTGACTTGTTTTACAGGATCCATTCTGCCAGGGCCAAATCAGAAAAGAAGGAAAAAAGAGTTCATGCCATTAGACTAGAACTCAGTAAGCTATGGCCCTGGCCCCAGACCAGCCCACCAGCTGATTTTGTACGTAAACTTTCATTGAACACATTCATGAAAGTACTGTCTAGGGCTGCTCGTGTACTACCGTGGCAGAGGTGAGGAGCTACAATAGAGATCCTATGGTCCACAAAGCCTGAAAGGTATTATCTGGCCCTTTACAGACAAAGTCCGCTGACCTCTGCTTTAGACTATTCTTGAGAACAATAACGACATTGTATTCATCATTGCAGCGTAGCACATTGTGCACAATGGAGTTATCCCATAATCATCAGTCAAGTTGAAAAGTATAATTCAATTTCTGATCATCACTGCAGAGGCAGTGCCTTACATGTTGTTGGGGGATGGATACATGTAGGTTCCCAGGAGGGGACATATTGTACATAATCACACTATTATGAGTCTCTTCAAAGGACCCCGAGGCACATGGATTCAGTGGGACAGGATACAGAGTTAAAACGCTTGGTTTGGAGTATGGTGAAAGGCCTGAGAAGACCTCAGTGGGTGATCCTGGGCAGACTTGGGGCCACAAGTGCCTGGGGCAAGGGCTGGAGTTCTCATGAGCTAAAAGTGGGGAGCAAGCAGTAGTAGCGCACAAAAGGGAGATGAGAACAACGGAAGGAGAGGGAAGAACGAACCAGAGTTAAACTGCACTTCGGCTATTACTTGGCTCAGGGTGAGATCTGCCAGAAAGATTCTTCAGAAAATGTAGAGTTTGTGAACTTCATTGCCATTCAAATGCTTAATAGGATTTTATAGTGAACCCCTGGGAGACAACCTCCATCCTTATTACCATCCTGGAGCCCCACACTCATTCCACTGCAGGCATTGCGAGCAATTCTCCAACACAAATGTGAATTTTCTGGTGTTCTAATTTCTACAAATGTTAGTTCTAAGAATGCCTTTTCTCTCTAACAGCTTGACAGGATTATGTATATATATAAAAAATAGCAGTAGAACAGTGGGTGGTATGTACTATTATTACAAAAATAGATGGAACACAGCATATCAACATTGGACTTTTAAATATACAAAGGAAAGGAGGAAGGGAAGAAAAAAAGTGAATGTTTTGGCTGTAACAGTTCCTCTCCTCACTAGACATTACATTTTGCCAAGTCAATCTTGTTTTTCTAAAGGAGCTCCTTAGAAAGATGGGTGGTGGCAAGTCAAAATCACTCAGATTTCATGAGTCTCGGTGGCTTATGACCACCTCATGTGCCTCCGAAACTCAGGAACTCTCAATGGTTCTCAAAACTGAAAATGTTATTAATACTACAAAGAAGTGACGAGCACAATATTCTTCTACAGCATCCTCTTTCAGTCAATAAGCTTATAGAAAAAGTAAGAGCATTCCATCTACTGTCCTATTACAGTTACAATTTAACAAGTCTATGCTTTGATAGGTCAAATTCTTATAACTGAGTATTGTATCACAGAACCACAAGGAAATAATAATGGATTTTCTGTGCTTTTTTAAGAAATAATGTCTAATGGAATTTTAAAAGAACTGGATTTTTGATGTTACCTTGGAAAGTTGAGGTAGGAGGAGGAAGTGTAGCAGATGCCTGGTGGACCACGGATCCATGTCTCAGGAGGAAGAGAACAGACAGAACCTCCCAGTGGCTCTATGCCTAAAGGACTCTCATTGTTCAGGGAAATACAAACTCAGAACATTCTACTGCATCTTATTTTCAGCATTTTTGTTTTTTCCCAGCATGTGTTTTGAATGGATTTTATTATTTAAAATATATTTTTTTTCTGGGTGTATCCTTACACTTTAACTAGTTTTATAGTTTCATTATGTTTGCCTTTGCCAGCCTTCCTAGAGATATTATCCCATTTCCTTGAGTATCCCAATGTCTTCTAAAAATATACCATGCAATTATCACTTCAGCATTGATATTTTATAAGCACTGAAAATGAAACAAGATAGGAGGTAATGTGTCCAATGTCCCTTTGAACATCACTGGTGCAATAAGGAATAAAACCCTGAATTTGGATTGTCACTGGACCACTTGATGCTTGAGAATTAAATGACAGTCACAGTATATAAAGGCTGGAAACATTCTTGATCATTATTCAGACATGGTCAAGAGAAGGCACTTCTGGTGTGAGGGGAACCTGTTGTTCCTTACCCAGATTCTTCCTGTCCTGTCTTTGTGACGGAAAGACTTAGAAAGAGATACTGCTTTGTCAAGAAAATATTTAACTGCATTAAGATGGGAAAAGACATACTGAGTGTTTCTTGATTGGACAGAAAGTCAAGTCAGTTTCTCATAAGAGATGTGCGTCCTCCCCCCCTGGAGGAGGGCATGGCAGCCAACCCTGGTATTCTTGCCTGAAGAGTCCCATGGACAGAAGAGGCTGGCAGGCAACAGTTCATCGAGTCACAAAGAGTCAGACGCAGATGAAGCAACTTAGCACACATACACACGAGAAGCATGAAATCTTCTCCTTTATAGCCTTCCTCTTAACTTCCTGTCATGAATATCTATTGCTTTTGTAGTACAGAAAAATTAAAGTTACTAAACAGAAAGGAGAAGCAGGGAAATAAATCTCTTCGTGGCCTAAAGCATGATTTTTGAAAACACAAAGAGGAAAATCTAAGGCTTTTACATGTAAAATTCCACTAGAAATGTGATGTGTACAAAACAATCATGGTCATGGTTCATGGCATTTACCACTCAAAAATAAGCATAAATCTGCAAATTGTGCTATGATCACTCCATGGTTTAATACCAGTCCATATATATTGTGAGTTGAGTTGTCATTTACACTTGGTAACTTCCAATATTAAAAGATTCTTAAACAAAAATAATGGTTTGTCATTTTGTTTCTGCAGGCCTGGTTTGTTTTATACATAACCCTTCATGTTTGGGGCAGCAAGCACAGAAACTGTCACTTAAACTGGAGGAAATGCCAGGAATCTGCTTCACAACTTGTGAGTCAGCTCCCCCACCCATCTCTGTGTTCACGACTCCGAGCAACGAAGTCTGCACTTACTCTAATTAATTCCCCTTTGTTCCTTTTTTTTTTTTTTAATTTAAATAAACACTCTCGTGTTTTCTCACACCACTTGCAGTAGATAATTTTCAGTAGAGAACCTTACCTTTCTGTTTGTCTTGTGGACTGTACGTGCCAAATGGATGCAATGTACTATTATCATTTCTCCTGGAGGTGGTTACAGCATTTTGACAGTTCTCAAAGCAGGGCTTAGAAAATGCCCCGCACTCTGCAGGCTCCTAAGGAATGAAAACAAGAACTACATTCACTTTCGTAACGTGTCTCAACTTTGTCGATGGAAGCAAGGTGAAAGAATTATCAACTCTCAAATAAGTTTTCAAGATTCTCTGGCATGGAAATCCTGGACAGTGGAAAATCACAATGTTCCTATCAGTTAAAACATCTTTGAATAGGAAATAAAAACTACTGACATTGTGGTGTTAAGGCTTAGGAGTGCTGATAGCCAGTACAAAAGAGGATTAACTTTATGATTCTTTCCCGCCACTTACAACTGTCTTCTTTCACATTTTCTTCCATCTGGGAGTGCAGCTTGTGGTAATGTCAACATAAGAATACAGTTCATGCCAAGGGTGTTTCTCTGCCAACCAGATGGTTCCCCTCTCTCTCTCTTTCCCCCGCTTAGCGACTAAGTGCATATGCTTTAGGACAAGTCAGAACCTAGACAGGTTTACCACTGAACAGCCACGGGCGAGACCCACTGCAGACACTATTTGGGCCAGGAACTATAACAAACTTCTGTGACAATGCCAGAAGTGGTTCTCCTGAGAGTTTTCTCTTTTACCATATTTCCCCCTTCTATTTTGACAGTCTGTAAACAAATTCAGTTTCCTTAAAACTGTTATCTTCATAATACCGCCCCCATACAGCATGTGCCCCAGGCGCCCCTGAGGCATTGGCAGGGGCTGACTGCAGGGAGTTCTAGCTGCTATTCAAGAGGGACAAGGCACAGAGAACCAGGTTTTACTCAGGTTCAGATAACATTTCGTCCTAATAGATTCAAAAAAGCAAACAGAAAGCCATCTGAGGACCATTCCCTTGACCATTGGTGAGAGGAACATGCCCCAGACAGAAATATAAAATTGAACTCCAAAGCTCTCTCCTTCTGAAAAAGAGCATTTGACCCAAACAATGCATTTGATTTACACTTCTCTCTTTTAGTTACAATAACTCGGTATCCTGCTGGTTAAACAAAAAATTCACAGCATTCAACACATACATTCTTCATAATGAAGATATTTTCAGCTGCTGCTTTTTTGTCAAGGTTCAGAACACTTTTTCCACACCCCAGGGGTGCCCTTTGCCTCTGTTCCACTAGTCAACCAAACCTGGTGCAAACTACTCCTAAATGTAAGCTAGAGCCCTGGCTGGTAGGTGAGGTAGGGCCTACCTTATATCGTCAAGGGCTTTAACAAGAACAACAACAAATGTTTTTGCTGCTTTCCTGGCTCTTTGATAAATGACACAATCAATATCCCAACAACTGATCAGTAACCAGCCTAACTAAAGTATTCAGCCTGTAAAATAGAGCTGTCGAGGAGCATTCCATTAGTGTCCCAGCCAATAAAAAATATAATGGAGTTTTAAACATATTCTGCTTCTACCAAGTTGAGCTTACAACTCAGGGGAGGGAAATGTTTGGGGGAAGGAAAAAGAAAAAACAGGTCATAACCCATTTTTTAATACCAAGTCTCTAGGCTCAAATAGAATTACAATTGAACCTCAAGCTCATCCTTTGAAAAACATGTTTCTGTTTAAAATGATTTTGATTCAATCAAGGGCTCATTATGTATTCTTCATGAGGTTCTCATCAAAACTGTTTACGTATCTTGTACATCTGGGTAATGTGGGAAAATACCCCAAAGACTATATATTTTGACTTTTCTTAAGTAGCATCTTCTTCTTTTTTTTTTTTTAAATATCAATATCATGTTCAAGTAACCATTTTGGTGTTCTTTCCAAACCTGACTAATTGATTTCCTTGAATATATGAGCAGTGCAGGGACCTTTTTCTAGGTTACTGATTCTTTTTTATCATACCTGAGGGTGGTTGCTGCTCCAGAGGACAATCTTCCAAACACATGAGCAGACAACATATGCTATGACACAGTAAAACAGATTTGGGAGATCAAATAGCTACAGCTTTTTTTTTTTTAAATTTAATAAAGATTAGCTGTACATTAGGCGGCTGTCATTATATGAAAAAAAATAATACTCTTTAATCTTCATGGGTACCACAGAGATTCTCACTAGCTGAGAGAGCCAAGTGCCTGCTCATCCCCCATGGAAAGCATATAAATATTAGGGAAACCAAAAATGAGTCTTGTTTAAATGTCCTCATAAAAATTGCTTTGTGTCCTTTTTCTTGTTCCTAATCGATTTCCTAGTGAACCACATCAACAGGACACTCTGAAGATGGGCAACAAACTGAAGGCTTAGTACTTGCTTCTGATGGAATAATTGTCAGCCCAGCCCAGAGCATGAGAATTAAAATGAAAATACCTGCGGTAAAGGAGAATGCAAATAATAAAGGGTCTTAACTTGACAAGTCAAAACAACGAGCATTTATCCACTAGGCATTCGTATACTGGAGAGAAAGACAGGAAACTAGGGAAGATGAAAAGTGGGGAGGGAACTCTTTTAGCAGTGTTCATTTCTCCTTTTCTTTTTTTCATTTGCTATCTTTTACTTCTGCACAGATATGGAAATCTTGAGCAGTGAGCAGTGCATTTCCGACTTTTCTATTAGTTGAGAAATCTTTGCTCCAAGACATCTTAAGAGGGATTTAAATCACAGATGCATGGAATGGGTGACTCAGGGGCCCACAGACCATACTTCGTACCTGCCTCCAACAACTGGGTTCCATGGAGGTCTAGGGCTCCAGAGTAAGAATGAAATTCAACTAAAAAGGAGCTGATTCTCTCATAGTAGGAAGCAAGAGATAAGGGTTTTATGACTGTGTACATAAGTAAAATCCATTAAATATTCATGGAAACCTCTATGTCACTTAAGCAGACACAAATGTTGAAAATGAGTTGGCTCATTATATATAGTCTTCAGTAATTGCCAATTTACATTTATTTAACATTTACAAGGTTATGTATAGAAGAGTAAAAAGGTACAGTTCCTCCTTTCCAATAGCCGATAATGTAACAAAGTAAGATGCAGCCTCCAGAAGGAAATGGCAACCCACTCCAGTATTCTGGCCTGGAAAATCCCATGGACAGAGGAGCCTGAAGGGGTTACAGTCCATGGGGTCACAAAGAACTGGACAAGACTGAGTGACTAACATAAAGATATAGCTAAGTTTACTTCAGCTTATCCTCTCAGATGAAGTAGGCCTTATAAGAAACTTTTATTCATTTATTACACAATGTATACTAACTGTCTACTGAAAGTGAAAGTGTTAGTCGTTCATTCGTGTCCAACTCTTTGTGACCCCATGGACTGCAGCCTGGCAGGCTCCTCGGTCCATGGAATTCTCCAGGGAAGAAAACTGGAGTGGGTTGCCATTTCCTTCTCAGGGGATCTTCCTGACTCAGGGATTGAAGTTGGATTTCCTGCACTGCAGGCAGATTTTTTACCATCTGAGTCACCAGGGAGCTTTCTACTAGGTGCTGGTAAATGAAGATATATGAAAGGATAAGGCAGACAACTGTATTGCTATCTACTGAGCATTCAACTATGTATGTCTTTACATAGCTAGGAAGTGACCAACATGGGGTTTTTAACTCAATCTAAAACTCTAGAACCCAAACTTTAACCACTATGAGTCCCAAATACCTTCTATTCTTAACCTGAAAATCTTTTACAGTTTTTAAGTTGAATTTATTATTAAAACTAACAGTGTTTTAATAGGATTCTATTTTAACTTCTTGTATTATTATATCACACAAACATTATTTGTCCTTATAGAATATATATGTGATTTTCTGATGTTTTTCTCAACTCTCAACTCTTAACTATTATCAGCTTGTTTCTTATCTTTTCTTAAAATAATTTGTAAGAGAATTTAATAACTATTGCCTATACATTAGCAAAAATAATGTTTTAGGAATATTTTATGATAAATATAATTGATAGATCATTGTAAAATATGATTATATAAATATAATTATATGTAAGTGAAATACTTAGCAATATCAGCATTCAATAATATTTTGTTTATACTTCATGTATACATAAAAATATTTCTTACATTAAAAAACTCCATAAAGAAATAATACTAAATTTCAAAAATATTTAATTAAAGTGTATTTAATAATATGAAGCAAGATGTTTGTTTAATAGATCAAATTTTAAATTAGTTAAGTTGCAGATCTGTATTTATTGTTGTTTAGTTGCTAAGTTGTATCTGACTATTTTGAGACCCCCATGGACTGTAGTCCACCAGGCTTCCCTGTCCATGGAATTTTCCTGGAAAGAATACTGGAGTGGGTTGTCATGTTCTTCTCCACGGGATCTTCCCAACTCAGGGACTGAACCCATGGCTCCTGCATTGGCAGGCAGACTCTTACCACTGGGCCACAAGGGAAGCCCCAGATTTGTATTACCCAAGCACAAATTGTAGGGGAGAATATAGAGAGCTAATTGCATTATAATAATCTTCATAGTAAGCATTATAGACATCTTATTAGGTACTTAATAAGGAATGGACAATGCTAGCATATCATCCAAAAAGCATGTAAGCATGTTATATGTGTTAATGTTCCTAATAGGAATAGAGTATAATTCATAAAGTTCAGAGCTCTAGAAATTTCTGGGGAAAAACTAGAAATTATGGACCTGTTACACTTGATAAATGACTTAATTTATATGTACATTTTTATACCTTCTAGTTATACCTAAAATATATAACCACCTATTTGCCACATAATCCCATCAGAGCACCTCTAGGAGCATATTTTCTAATTTCAGAAACCAACATAAGCCTAGGTACCACACTAGTGATGGAAGTGTGAATTTTCTGGTAGCCATTTGGGCAGTTTTCACAGGGAAATAACAATTGCATCACCTCCATTGGTCTCTCTGGCCTCCTCAGAATCACCAACTGGATCATCCCTCGGATGTTTCCTTCCATGGACATGGATCGTCTAAGTGTTTCCATAGCTTCATGGTTGGACTTTCCCAGAAGAGATTCCCCATTAACCGCAATCAGCTGGTCATTCATCCGGAGACGGCCATCCTAGGGTGGAGGTAAGAAAAACAGTATTAAGCCGAGAAAAGTATGGTGATGACATGTGACTGTCAGGCAAAAGTTCAAGTTTAAAATAAAGAAAAAAATTCAGCTATTAGGGATGATTTATTTTCCACAGCAGAAAAAGTTTCTGGACTTTATCAAATATTCACAAATATTAATAATAATGAATTGTGTGAAAGTGACTTTTAGAAATCTTAAGAGTCCGGAACTAGAATAACTGAGACATTTGTATAATATCTCTTACCTAAACCTTTGGCAAGTGTGCTAGGCTAACCTGATTCTGCCATTTGCTCTGGAAGCCACCATATTGCTTGCATTTTCAGGCACAGAGAGACACCACGCTTACATGTTGTGTGCTTGACAACAGTAATGGATCTCATAGCTATCTCTATTGAATAGTGCTGTGAAAAAAAATTCTCATGTTATTTTCTCTAACACAACAAAAAGTTGCTAGTCTGCAAAAGAATGCAGAGGTGTGTAATGCAGGTCAAATCTGCCACCATGTCTTCTGCAGGAAAGTCTTGACAAAGGGGGCTGTCAAGCCTTTTGTTGAGGAGTCTCTGACTGATAAGCACTTTCACCCAGCACCTTCAGGAAGAAGCACCACATACCACAGAGAACTGGGAACTTTGGCACTTGGATAAGTGGCCCAGATTCTAGTCTAAATCACCTCTAGGCACTAGTCATCTTCAGCTAGAAATGTCCCTGGAGTCGATGGAGGTAGCTGAACAAACTGGGACACCATCTCTACCTACAAAAGAACTTCTGGGGATCACAGTACACCCCTCTTCCCCAACAGACAGTCTGGGAGAAAATATGCTTAAATACTGACAGTCTGATTAAGGACATGGGTTATACCTGTTTCTAGGGTAGAATGTTCTTGCTGTGAGGCACAGATGCAATTTTAGGAATGTCATGATGCTGAGGCTGCTGCTGCTAATACATTTAGCAGAAGTAACAGTAGGTGAGCTTGGTAGTTCTTCCATGAATTATCTATAGTTCTTATAGAACTCAAGAAGCTAGACAGATTAATGTTTTTACTCACATTTTACAAATAAGGAAACTGAGGCAGGAAAATGATGTCAGGTGCCCCAGGTCACAAAAGAGAGTCAGAGATAAACTGACCTAAGTTCCGTTTTCATGAACCTTGGTTCTTCTGAGTTTCTGCACTTGGGCTTTCTTGGCTATTCATCTCTGGACTACAATTATACACACTAAAATAGGTGGGGGGGAGTATTCAAGTTTTTGCAGTTAGAAGTATCTGGGATCCATGTTCAAAGGAACAGAATGAAATGTAAAATGAAAAAAGAACTTTCCTAAGAAATGAGAAAACCAGACATATAACGAACAATAGGGCAGCCATACAGATTTGGGAGAGAAATCCTGTGGACAAGCTGATGAACTTTGACTAATGCAGCAGCAGATGGTCAGAGGAAGTTCCTCTGCTGACAGCTGGGGAAAGGGGGAGAGTGATGAGAGCTGTTCTGGGGCACGGATGCCCTCGTGGGGATGCACTGCCCACACCTCCTGTTGCAGAGGGTATCAGCCCGTGGACGGTGCAGGCCACACCCTCTCGATTTCGAAAGGGGTAAAATCAAGCTGTAAAACTTGGCTGCCCTGCCTCAACAGAGCCTAATGTCTTCTGCCTTCCTCTCGTTTTCCCACTCCACTTAATCTTTCCCATAATTTGGAGCAAATCTGGAAATGAGATTTACAGGAAAGGCCAAACACAAAGGAAATCGCTTCATTTCTGTTATCTAATGGTGAGAGAGGCACGCAAAGGATAAGATTAAGGCTACACGAAATGGGGTCAAACGGAAGCCACTTTAATGGCTGTGTACAAGTGAAGTGAGACCCTTTACTCTAGGAATTACGCTCTTCTATTGTGGCATTTAATGGAAGCAGGACTCCTGGGCTGGACCTTTCACAGGCAGTTGGGAGGGTCACTAAAAATGTTTTGGGGCGGACTGGAAACAGATGTGTGGTTTTTAAAGATGGGGAGGAAGCACAAAAGTTGCATCAGGATCCTAACCCTGTGAACAGGAAATGAGGTCAAGTGCTGGACCTGTAGACGCTTAGCTTTGGCAGGACACCTCATCCTCTATGACAGGAAGAAGAAAGATAAAGATTGAAACTTAATGGGTACTTGTAGAATTGAGGGAATGAAATCTGAGTGAGCGCCACCTGGTAACCTCCTGTGAACCTGCTCTGTGGAGTAGGAGGCAAGGTCTGAGTGAAGAGGTAAATAAGAGATAAGGAGATGGAAAAAACCATTTTTTTGGTAGGATAATCTCTTACCAACAAGTATTAAGTACAGACTTTTATTTTCAGTTACATTCTGAGTCTCAAGCATACATAACTACACTAAAGTAGAACGTGTTTGCTGTATCCAAGTCCAAACAATAACGTAGGTCAGGTCACCCCAGGGCAACTTTTTTTTTTTTTTTTAAGACATTCACATTCATCCCAAGCATCACTGCAGAGCTGCGGGTATGATAAAAATCCACATACTCTTCTTGAAAGGCTTAGCTGGCCCGTTGTTATTGGTTTTTGCTTTCCCTTTATAAGATAAATGATGGGTAATTTCATTAATGGTGGTGCCAGTAAGCACCACATTGTCCTAACATAGAGAAGATAATCTTAGAATTAAGAACAGGAAGGGTCCTTAGAGATTATCTTGTCCAGCTGCTTCTGTTTATAGATAAATAATGTGATGCACACAGAGAATAAGAAACCATTTACTGAATTCCTCTTCTAAAGAGAAGTTACTTCCACACAGATTCGAACTTGCTCAGCTAGTTAAGGTCAGAGCTGGATTAAATAGTCCAAGTCCTGACTTCTCAGCACTCCCTATTCACTACCCATTCTGTGTTCTAATAGATGACTAGTCCCTCAAGGAATCATGCTTCAAGAAAAAAGACTTTCAAATCCAGAGAGAACAATATGACACCAGATGTCTCCTGGAAGAGAACCTTATATGAAAGCCAGAGTCAGACTATAGAAGATGTGGAGACAGGAGGGGTGGGGGACTGTTTACCTATCTAGCTATACACACACACACACACACACACACACACACACACTCACACACGTGTGTGTGTGTGTATCCATTTGCAGTCTTCATTTAAAATGAAGTCAATTTAGTTAAGAGCTCATTACGCAAACTCAGCAAAGATCACAATTGTGTCTGTCTATTCTGCTTTGTGGGACTTCCCTGGTGGCTTGGTGGTAAAGAATCTGCCTGCCAATGCAGGAGAGGTGGGTTCAGTTCCTGAGTTGGGATAATCTCCTGGAGAAGAAACTGGCAATCCACTCCAGTATTCTTGCCTGGGAAATCCCATGGACAGAGAAGCCTGGGAAGCAACAGTCTATGGGGTCATGAAAGAGTTAGGCATCACTTAGAGACTAAACAACAACAATGACAATTCCACTTTGCAATGGTTTTTTACCAAAAAAGGTAGTTTTTTATGGTTTTATTTTTTTTCTTTCAGTATTATGTTTAAGTATGTACTTCAGCATGAGAATAGTGACTCTCCTCAACTGATTTTACGAGTGATTTCAACTATCCAGGTATGTTACCCAGTAATTCTAGGATATTTATTTTATCCTAATCTGGATCATTCTTTCATTTGTTGAAGGAAAAACTAATGCCCTTTCTGCTATGGACTGAATGTGTTTTCTTCAAATTCATATGTTGAAATCCTAACCCCCAACATGAAGATATTAGGGGGCATTTGGAAGGTAATTAACACCCTTATAAAAGAGTCCTGAGACAGATGTCTTGTCCTCTCTGCCATATAGGGTTACAGCAAGAAAAAGACAGCTGACTATTAAGCACCTCTCACCAGATGGATTCTGCAGCACCTTGATCTTGAACTTCAGAAACTGTGAGGGATAAACTGCTGCCATTTAAAAGTTATCCAATTTATGGAATTTTCTTTTAGCAGTCTGAACAAAGACACTTTTCTTTCTACTTTATGACCATCAGACCCCTAACCAAAAGACCACAACTACATCCCTTACTTTTTGCAACCCCTGTAATCAACTCTTATCTATCCTTAAGCTAGGAGGAAATAAAGGAAGTTCCCAAAGAGGAAGCAAAATAAGAAAAAGAGGAAAGAGAACAGAATAAAAATAGACAAAAACTTCCTCTGTGCACATTAGGACAAATGAAACCTGGTATAAGATTTAGGTCTTCTCCATGTCCTGGGGTGATTTCAAGTCTCATCAGCCCTAACCGGGTTCTATTGCAGGGGGAGGGAGACTGGACTGGGAGACAAGATGTTTGAGTGTTATATCCCTTTTCTGTGCCATGTTGTGCTAAATCACTTCAGTCGTGTCCGACTCATAGCAACCCTATCGACTGTAGCCTACAGGCTCCTCTGTTCATGGGATTCTCCAGGCAAGAGTACTAGAGTGGATTTGCCATTTCCTACTCCAGGGGATCTTCCTGACACGGTTTTGAACCTGTGCCTCTTACGTCTCCTGTATTAAGACACAGGGTCTTTACCACTAGTTCCACCTAGGAAGTCCATATCTCTCTTTATTGAACACCTAATACAGGGCAGTCCTTGTGCAAATATTTTGCATATGTTCTCATTTCTCAAAACAAACCTGTGATATAAGCACCACACTCCACTTAGAGATATAATAATGGAGGCTCAGGGAAATTAAGTGGCTGTTAAAGAATACTGTCACTGCCAGGCCTACCTGAGTCAGATATGTTTCCGTTGTGCTATGTTGCTCCTAGAGATGATGAAAGGTACTACACTGGTTTGGAAAGCCTGATAGCTTCCCTGGTGGCTCAGAGAGTAAAGCATCTGCCTGCAATGCGGGAGACCCAGGTTCAATCCCTGGGTTGGGAAAATCCCGTGGAGGAGGAAATGGCAACCCACTCCAGTATGCTTGCCTGGAAGATCCCATGGACGGAGAAGCCTGGTGCAGGCTACAGTCCATGGGTCGCAAAGGGTCGGACACGACTGAGC